GGGGTAATTGTCAGCTATGTTACTGGCTAGACTAAGAGCTTGCTTCCAAGCTCACGCACAAATTCCAGCTCACTAATAATCACTGCTTGATACTGACTTTTCAGCAGTTAGGTAGAACATGGCTTGCTTGAGACACTAATGTAACTCTGAGAATCGATTCTAAATGTGAGATTTAATAAAAGATGAATTTTTGAAGAATTAATGAACAAAGATTTAAAAAAAATGGTGAAGGACATGACATGATTCCGGGTGTTCTCTGTCCAGAAAATGGATTTTGGGCTTAACTCAATCTATGATTGCCAAGGAGTTGAAGCGCCCATCCCACAAGGGAAGTGGGACTCAACGCACCTAGGGGAATAACATGAGAGAGTGAAAAGTTTTACTTCATGAAATAACTTTGTCGTGGAAATTATTTTTCTGAAAAAGAACAGGTAGTGAACTTTGAACATATGATCTTCAGTGACATCTTACAACAAGAAACTACCAAGTGACTGAATATTGGTGTCACTCAGAAGTAGATGTGAGTTTTAAATATTTTTCAAGCAAAAGGAAGGACACAACTGTTGGAACTCTTGAAAATATCTTTATAAGAATGGCTGTTCTGCAGTCTCAAAGAAACTCTTCCCATATGGGGATCCATCATTCACAAATCACAATGCATTCTTTTTAGATCCCCTTTTCTTGAAAAGAAAGAAAGGTAGGATTAACCAAAGACATATCTCCTTCCGTTTGTGAATTGAATTGAATGGATAGTTTCATCTCTTTCCTACCACTAAATTGGAAATTGCATAAATAGTTTTGATTGGCATTTTTTAAATAACCAAACAAATTGATTCTTGATAGAAATAATGTTAATGACTATTCGCTTAGCCGACTGCAGGCCAACAAATGTTTCTCGGTCCAACACTTGTCTGATATGCGAGCAATTGCCAAAACTAATAATCCATTTTCTACATTGCAAGATGGCATGGAGTTTTGGAGTAAACACTTTTCCTATTTGATGAAACGTGAATATCGTAGGAGGTTAGATCCTCCCCCTCAAAACACACACCCAAAGAGAGATACACATTCACTTTATATTAAAACTTGGAAGGAGAAACTTTCCAAAGATTTGTTAATACTCATTGAATTCCTGTAGTCTATAGGATATTGTTATCCACCAAAGAATACATCGGCTTCGAGCTATTAAATATTATAGCTTTTTCTTTGTGAAATAACTATTACTAGGAGGTAAAAGAAAGAAAATTTCTATGACAAGACAAGTTCAAAAATAGTTACCTTTCTTTTTCCCTTAATAGTTACCTTATGATATATGTACAAGATAATTACTTTGGTAAGATTAATAAATTAAATATTTAACTTTTCTTCCCGCTACTGCCATGTGCAACATGCACTAATTTTAACTTGATATCGAATTTCATATGTTCAACTGTGAATATTCTCGTCAAACCAAGACACTAGAAGGTGGAAGGAAATTCCCTCAAACTTGTCTTGATTGTATATTTTTTTCATTAAGCCTTTTTTCAAGAAATAATTTAGGGAATCATTTTCTAATATTCCAACTAGGATAAAACATTTTACATTAAAATGGAAAAAATATTTCTCTCCCTGATGAGCAAAAATCAATTTTCTTAGAGCTATTTTACCTTTTAACTTAATTTTATTTGTTCCAACTAACACTTGGGACATCATTACGCATAAATTATTTTCTGTATACTTAAATTTGATACTAATGTTTTGACCAAAAGAGTGATAGTATAAGCTCATTTTTTTTATCACAATGAATGTCACTAACCAATTTATGAGGTGGTGATCTCCATCTCTTCATAATTAGCTCGATGTCTAGTGGATTTGGTAGTATAGGAGTCATTTTCTGCTGGAAAATTTTTCAGTTTTTTGTTGGTAAGTAAAACTTTTCTAGAATTTTTTTAAAGAATAATAATAAAATAAGCAAATTGGATAGTGTTGTAATAAAATTTTGAGTAATATCCGAAGAGTTCCACAGAAATCTTGGATTACCACACCCGCTTACCTTAAAAATTTCGATTGAATGCTGAAATTCTATCACCTCATCAAAGACCACTAGGAACAACATAGCAAGCTTTGAAACTGAACTTTATAAGCTAGTTAACCATCCAATGATTTGGAATTGGTGCATCCAATGAGGATTTACATTAGCTCTCATTTTGAGACACTATTACAACAGTAACCCATTCCTGTACATACTCTCCCGTGGTTACAATTAAGAAAAGAACAAAACTGAATGTGCAGCACCCACCCGCATATCAGCTTGAATTGGCCTGGTAAGCGCCCTTACAAAGTAACTACGAGTCTCGGGTAATACACGTTGAATCAAATGTGAATACCTACATATGAAATTATAATGCCTTAATACACATAACAAGACAACTTAATAGAGTTCATACTAATCATTATGGGAATCTTCACTTCAAGTTGAATGACATGCTTTGCAATTTCACACACACCAAATAGACGTACACTTTCTCATAATGAAATAAGTTTGTGTTTATCATTAACAATAAAAAAACTTCACAATCACCTCTTATGATTCTAAAAATTTAAATGACAAAAAAGCATTTTATCATCTTGTGCTTAGCTATACTTGATCAAGCTTCTAGTTATAATTACCATAGAACAATAAGCAGTCCATATTCTACAAATTACCAAGTTGAAGTACTTTCTTTTTCCTTTTCATAACCCGTGTTTTTAAAAGATACTCAGGAGTTCAGGTTGACAAAGAATAGGTGAAAACTGTGTGCTAATGGCTGGCCAGATAGGTTAGAAGGATATCCAGTTTGGTTCGTCACCCACCGAACTCATAAAAATAATGTAATTAAGGATAGTGAAGGTCCAGGACATACCATGGCATGACACTTAATTGGTCAAACTTTTCCAAAATGAATACNACCTGCAAGCAAGAGAGATTTGTCTTTAATAATGCAAGATTGACTTTCAAAATCTGAACCAAGGATGTGATGGTAATTAAAGTGCACTCTACCTCATCATCAACTCAAAAACATCCCATCGGATATTTGGGATCTCTATGTCTTTGGCATCTCTCTCCTGCAATACATTATCTACAGACTGTTAGAAACAAAATATCAAGCAAATATGTTTGGCTATTAGTTGTGACTCCTTTTGCAGTGGCCATGCATACACAGCCTCTCTACTGCACAAGGTGGGGGTAAGACTGCCTACTCACTGCCCTCCCTAGACCCCATTTGTGGAATTACACTGGGTTTGTTGTTGTACAAAAGAAAAAGATAATCAATAGAAAAAACACTTTACACAAAAATTGAAGATAAAGCAGGTCAGCTCTTGCATACATAACAAAGTTGCTAGCCATCAAATAAAAATAAAAGACATGAGGCTCACAGTTCGTAACTCGATGGATAATGGCCCACCCCTTTACCCTTCTCCAATTATGCACGATATCATCTTTAAAGTTATCAAGATTGATTTTTACAATGTATGATATCTTTTACACAGTTAGGAAATGAATAAATTTAAAACATAGAACGTAGACATCTTTTGGCTAGGAATACAACTCACCCGGTAGCCACCATCAAACATAGCTCGAAATGCATCAGAAGAAGCTAGTAAACAAATCCTATGGGCATAAAACCGTTTGCCTGGCGGAAGCACATAAAAAAGTAAGATACAACATTTAAAAAAGAAAAAGGGAAGAGATACATTTGAACAGTAAAACTGCTCTTACCCTCAACTAAAAATGTCACATCAGACAACGTAGAATTATTTACATACTGCTCTCCCAGATAAACCTGGATTTAAAAGAAATTAAAAGACAAAAATGAGGGAAAGAGATACTGCATCGGGATGGAATAAGCTTTCACTAATAATTTGAGATCAGAAAGGACAGAAAGAATGAATACAATCAACCAAATATGAAAGAGTTTAGGAGAACATAAAGTGGTCAAAACAATCAGCACCAAATAGCCAATATTGGGTGCTAAAAAGCAACAAGATTTCATCAAAATGCAAAGCACCTCAAATTCTCCCAAATGTCATCAGAAGTAACTCGACATTATCTACATCCTCAAAGTTGAAGAGTCACCCTAAACCCACTTTATGGCCTACTTAACACCTTAACCTGGTGGCAGAAACTAAAAGAATTAGAGCAGATGCTCCTCCTTATTTTGGGGTTGGGGGACTACTTTTCAGGTCTTCAAGATGTACAATCAGCATTTTTGGAACGGTAAGAACTCGGAAAAAAAATCTAAGTCTCATGTCTTCATAGCGCACCGCTTTGGAAAAAAATTAAGCATCGATCGATAGACACACAACTACCTCCTTGTAACCTCCAAGGAGGGGGGGGGGAGGGGGATAAGAAGAAGATAGGAGCATCACATTGAGAGATGTTATCCAATCTACACTGAATACAAACAGCAAGGCAGATCACCAAATGGGTCACATAAAGTATTTGCAGTCAAAAACTACAACCATAGGGATGGGCATGTAAATTTGGAAACAACAATCGATAATATCAGAAACCACAAGGAAAGATGACCAAATATATTAAATTTGCATAGTTATATTATAAGTTTCAAAGAGTTGTTTCCTCCCTTTAGTATAAATTCTTCTTTTAGGGGTCGCTTGGTATGAGGTATAAGTAGATATAGTGTTGGTATAAAAATTTAATACCACCTTAATACTTTGTTTGGTTAGCAAACCTGGTATAAGTTATCCCGGGATTAAAATTAGTACCGGGATAACTTATACCTTGTAGGGAGTGGGGTAATTAGTGCCGGGATAACTTATACCTTCTTCTTAGAAATTATGCAATTGTCATTTTTAATACAACATACCAAACAGTGAATAAAAAACAATACCATGATAACTAATCCTAGCATAACTTATCCCAGCATAAGCCGTATTGTAACCAAACAACCCCTTAGTGAAAGCCTAATCTCAACTCTCTCACTAAGATCAGATCTGCAAACAGAGGTTCTTCCTAAAGGACCAAAGCAAATACCTTTCTTATATGCAAAGTTTTGAATAGGTTGAATAAGCCTATGACCATGCAGGAGAGTTTATGCTTCTACAAAGGTTGCATCTTTGATCCCTAGAGATCTGTTCATATCCACGACAACACTATTACCATCTCTCTCTTTTTCTGGGATAATCGTGGTGTCCGGCCAGCTTGCACGGACCTCGACTAATCTCATGGGATACCTGCCACCTCTCACCAGCAACAGGTACCAAGTAATTGTATCCACCAAGGCTTAGATAGATGGGAAGAAATCACCTGGCATTTTTTGCCTCATGATTCTCACCACTTCATTGACCACTAGGCCACACCCTTGGGTGCAACACTATTACCATCTCTTATGGGTCAAGGCTAATAATGCAGAAACTGTTTCTACACATAAATATCTATAAATAAACTTGGAAGTTTCACAATCCACATTAATGTCTAAATCTGAATCCACAATTGCCTCTTGAAGCAAAACTATTGTAGATGTAAATTTTCGGCCTTATCCTAAAATTATGCCAATTATTCTAAAATCAAGAAGGCAATGAAGATGAATGAGAAATTTTGATTATCTTTGAAAGGTCCTAGTAAGGTCAAGCAATGATAGTCTGACTAAGCACTACAGGTATAGCAGTGGAGAAATGAAACAGAAACCAACAAAAAGTCAAAAAGTAAAAGGCAATGATCTAAGTCCTGCTCGAAGCGAAAGTTGAAGAACCTTGATAGTGCAATCAAACAAAAAATTAAGAAAAACAAACCTGAGGTATAGGGGATGGAGGAGCAGCATCGACTTGCGAAAGTGAGCTAGCTTTGTTAGCCAATTTGCACAAAGCTACAGAGCCATCTTTTTGGTGCTTCAAGTTTGTTGATTCAAGGAGCTCCAAAAGCAACTCTAATCCTAGAAGTGCATAATCGACATAGAAGATATCGTCATTGCCTAACCAGAACCCATAAAAACCCAATCTCAAGTCTAAATCAAACTTATACCATCGTTATTAATGAAAATTGTTTTTTGGTCATCTGGTGAACAAAGATGGGCCAGGGCCAAAGCAACTCGTCTCTGAATAACCTTCTCCCCAATGCGCATCAAATATATCAGATGGCCCAATATCTACAAAAGAAGGAGAAAAAGATTACATATAAGGATGACTAAACTTATAAGATTTAACAAAAGCACCTTGAGAAATGTAAAATTAAAATGTGGAGAAGGGAGGTAAGTTGCATCCATGTCATCAGAAGTCAAAGTTTGCTATTGGAACCAACAAAATACACTCATGGTTTTTTGTTCTCCGGTATGCATATGTCCTTCATCGCCAAGGTAAACTCACAGAAACAAATAACTTAAGATATAGAAACTTACTCGTCCGTGGATCTTCTCTTCTAATCTCTTCAATGTCTTTGCTACACAATCTCTAGTCGGCTGCATAGTCAGTGAACTCAATTTAGGAGCTCGGGGCAATATGTATAACAATAATAATCCAAACTCATTTAAGGTAACAAAGGTACCTATCCTTGAGAGAAAAGCATAAAATTGAAGAATCGCAAAAAAAGGGGAAGTCAAGAGATCATACTTGGACAATAAATTCTCCATCCTGAAGCTTTTGAACACCTCCAACCTTTATAAGATCAGCAACATTATCCTAAAGCAGAAAGTCACAGTAAGTCTAAAGAAGCATGTAAGTGCATGAAACTGATTATAATAAGAGTATATATGATCTGGTGACATGCAGCACCTCATTATCAGCAAGCCCATATAGAGCGAATGCAGCATTGTGTTGCAATGATCCATTTTTTGAGTCAAGGAGCTTCAACAATGGGATAATTCCACCACAGTGAGCAATACCAGCCTGATTGTGTGTGTCCTGAACATCATGGAACCACTAACTCTCGGTCAATAACGTAGTACTAAATCCTCAAATCAAATTAAGTGCTATGAGAAAGAAGAAGAGAAGAAAATGGTCTGGCGCTGGCATTCCTCATATTTGAAGTGAAATAGGAGCTCCCAAGGAAGTACAAAAGTTAAAATACTGTTCTGTACCATAATTAGGAACATCACAGTATCTTGATAAACTATTTTGCTTGGGCTATTAAAGTTTAATTAATGTTACTTTTCAAAACTGTTGTCATGTGATCGACGAACATGCATCAAAAAATTGTGAGATATAGAGCCACATATCATTTATCTACATCTGAAACAGAGCTAGTGATGAGGAAATGATACAGATCTGAAGAAGCCTGTCAGTAGAAACTGTAAATCACAAGAGATCGAGCCATTTCAGAAAATTAAGTGATGAAGAAGATATCCTCAAAATCCACTATATGATATTGTTTAGAGGCAGTACTATAGCTTCCAGAAGGTTAGGGTTGATTAAACTTCCATATTGAGAAATCATTACTATTATCCTTGCATAAGTTTTCTGCCCCAAAAGCATCAATTTCTTATCCTCTTAGAGATTACTCCACATAATCATAGGTAGATATCATATTTCAAGACCTGCCGAAGTTAGTGAATGTCAAACAAAAATTATGTGAATTAACAGTTGCTCATCTACAAATGATTATCATAATCAACCATTTTTAATAGAAACCTTTTGCAGCAGCAGAACAATCAATAGTCCAATGGGACCAGTACAAAGGTCATATAAAGAGATCATTAGCATGCTTCACACTTAATCAGTAATCATCAAATAGAAGTTTGTGATAAATCATCCCTAAGAAAATTTGAAAGTCGGAAAGATAATTCTTGAATGGCAAGCTTACATCAGACAGCCAATAGTCCAAGTGCTACTACTAAAAGAATGAATAGAAACAGATTGTCATGACAAGTACAAGAAAATTGTGCAACTCAAGATTTATCAGGATGAGGAATTACCTGTGCCAACCTCCCTAGAGCAAAGGCTGACATTTCCCTAAGTTGAGCATCTGGAGATTGCAACATCTCAATTAGTGGTGGAACTGCTCCTCTTTGCACAATATGAATCTGCAAGAGGTTTAAATGGATTTTACATTGTGTAAATAAGATTAAGTTGCTCAGAAATGCTACTTAAACAAAGAGTTTCTCCTATGAAGAAAGTGATAGAGCTTATTAATCAACCTTACAGTCTGTATCAGTTGCTGCAAATTGTCCTAGCAGTAAAGCAGCTTCCCTTTGGCTCTCTGAACAGGAGGAACTGGCATACAAGATTTATAGTGAGCAAACCACAGAGGAAAAAAGAAAAGAGCATATAGTTGCACAGATAGGTCCTTCTAGAGGACTCTGCAAATAATAACGCACGTATCAGAAATGTTAAAAATGATCAGGTCACTCAAAAGTTATGAGAGTTCATTATACCTAAGTAGCCCAATTACAGGTTGTAAAGCTCCTGCAAGAAGAACTTCTTTCTTGATATTTGGTGATGAGTGCACCAGATTTCCGATGACTCCAACCTGCCACCCACAATTTAATTAGCTTTGTGGATGACTACCAGATGAATCAAAGTCAAGACCCTAGGTTATATTAAATATCATATGTGCTAGTTTATCATGACATTAAATGATGTCTCACCGCTTCATAGTGTATAGCAGTATCTTCAGACCGAAGCATTAGTATAAGAGTAGGGAGTGCATTGCATTCCACAATCTGCAATCAATTCACACAAATTAACATAAATCAAACAGATAACCATAGAAATATTCAAGATAAATTTGTAAGCAATTAACCTGATTTTTGTTCTCATCATTCTTAAATGCCAAAGTTCGTAAGGCTCCTGCAGCTGCTCTCTGCACCTTTGAATCAACAAACTCAAGCAATTCAACAAGTGGAGGGATGCCACCTTCAATCCTATAGTCACAGAATACAGATGAAGTAAGAAATAGAGGTCTTCTTTCTGCAGATGCTAAATAACAAAGTTTCCAGATAAGGAGCAAACTAACCTAACACGAGTTTTGATGCTGCTGTTTTCATGAGCAAGATTCGTGACTGCATCAGCTGCCCGACGGATAACACCATTGACTGCTCGAGAGTTCTGAGCATCTCTGTGCCTCTTCAGCAGATTAACAAGATGAGGCAAAGCTCCAGCATCAACAATGAGTTGTTGGTGCTCTGGCTGTCAGGCATAAATATAAAATATATTAAAGAAGAGAGAGAGTAAATATCTACTCCTCTGAGTTTCAGAAGTACATAAAGTACGGACTATCCAGAATGAAGTAGAAAAGCAAATTTCTTTTCAGCATGAGTATGATATACAAAAAATTAAGAAGGCACATAAGAAAAAAAAAACAAATACTCCAAGTGTATGAGTTAGATGAAGTTGCAATGATGGAAAATCATTTATAGGCAACATAAATATTGTAATAGCAGGCAGTTAACTCAAAACACCCATCTTACACTGATTAAAACTAATTTAAATCTGCACATGTTCCTACTTGGAAATTATCTACTTTGCAATACACTGAGGTAATTAACCTTTTACTTGATTTGCACACAAAAAAGTCTTCAAGATCTCCAGCATTCCGTTACCCTTTCTTCTTAATAGATAATTTCAGAGTCTAAGATACAAGTAAAGTTATAATGATAGATTGATAGTTTTTCAAAGATTGCCCTTGCAACATATTTGGTAAATGCCCTTGCCACAAATAAATTAAACTAAGTGCTCAAATAATACAGCAAAATGAAAATCTCATTTACAGTAACGTATTCCATATAATACATAGCTCTTGTAGCAAAAGCAAGCTCTTTTCTACATTTTGACTATCACCAGAAGTATGAGATAGTTTATACAATCATCTGCAAAAACAAACTGGTTTTACTTCACCGCATCACTGAAAGATGGCTATCATACAGTATAAACACTGAGAAAAATCTGAAAAACGAGCTGAAAGCTTACTTTTATAGCAAGAAGCCCAAGCGTAAAAGCACTTCCTTTCTCAACCTCATGTTCGTATGGCATGTGACTACCTTCACCTTCACTCACATGCGGCGGCGCCTCTAGATGCTGCACCAAAACCGGAACAGCACCACAATCCACAATTACGTTCACAATTTCCTCTACAAAAACACAAATCCTCAATTATCAAAACCTACTATCACTCTCAAACTAATTAAAAAGGCTATCGAACTCTCCGCATGAACATCGAAAAATTCTGATCAACTGGAAATGAAAAGCAAAATCGAGAGTTTTGCGTTACCGTTTTTGGCTAGTTCAGAGAGAACGTGTATACCGCGTTTTGCGGAGGCTCGATCTGACTCGGATGAAGAAAAGGAAGATTCTATAACCTCAACCTGTGTACGGACTTCACGCGCCAGATCTTGATGAGCTTCTTCCGAAGATAAAGAAGATGAAACCGTTTGATCTTCTTCGAGACCTTCGTGTAGCTTTCTCTTCAAGCTCCTTCTACCAGAGCTCGACGAGCGTTCGCTGTGCTTCTGGTTCTCCATGGGAGAGTAGATGAGGAGGAAAAGGAGAAAAGGTGTGACACAGAGTAATCAGTGTGTGTAGTGTGTGGGGGGCAATTTAGGGATAAAAATGAAATGTTTATGGGAGTGCTTTGCTTTAGGTTTTTATTTTTTGTACCAGGGGACCTTTTTCGTGCAATGCCCGCGTTTTACAAAAACAGTAAATTTTGGGAATTTAAACTTATTTTTGGTGGACTCCCGCCATTAATCCTCTATAGGGCCAACGACACTGCCAAAAAACCTTTTTATAACCCAAACTCGCGAATCAAGTAATGTACAACCTTCGGCTTCAAGCTGAATTGGCTCAGCCTGTAGGCCTTCTTTTAATATCTTTAATTTATATGACAATATTTGATTGAACATGAAATATTTAAAAAATATTAGAAAGTTACTATTATTAATATTTGAATAGCTATAAATTATCTCATTAAAACAAAAATTCATTGGGTCAAGGGAGCAGTACTATTTTTCTGACTATCTGTGAGCCTTTATTTAACATCCTTTAATTAGTGTTGTAACTTTTTGTTGAGTTCTACTCTATTCCCTCTTTTATTTACTATGACTTGTCACTTGTCGGGAAACATGTAGGTCATATTTTGAGTTTTGTTAGTATAAAATATACTCCTTAATACAAATTGCTGTTAAAATGCTAGTGATTTCCTTTTCACCGAAATGATTTTCTAACTATCCTAATGCAATTATTCATAAAAGAGTACGACTTTTTATGTGAATTGTCTACACTGAGGGTGTAACTGTAGTAGAGTGCGGCGGTGTGTCACCACCCCAATTTCCCTCCATAGAATATCGTGATAGCACATAATCTTTAAGATTAGATAAGCCTAATACTTGGTGATAATTAATGGAATTTAACTAACTTACTTTAAATAATATCTGAACAACATAGCTGACCCAACAACAGTTACTTAACCTCAAAACCTGTAGAACAAGTCATAAACCTTTTTAAAAGTAACTCAGTATATGAATGAATACATCACTGTTCCGGAGTAATAAGAAACAATGGAAATAAATACAACAAAAGGTGACTTTGGAGCCTGCGAACGTCCAACATGTGTACCTTGAAGTCTCCAGCCGCACAAGCATAAGTATCAAACCAACTCGATCTGAAAACCTGATTCTGCACCAAAATATGCAGAAGCGTATCATGAGTACACCACGGTGGTACCCAATAAGTATCAAGTCTAACCTCGGTAGAGTAGTGACGAGGCCAAGTCAAAACACCTACCGGACATGTAAACATGTGCAAGATATAACATAAAGCTAACAAGGAAAGAATATCAATGTAATGCCAATAGCTCAAAGAATTCAAATTACAATCAATGGTGAAGATAAGGGAAACACGAATGACGACGAGAAATAACCAAGTAATTAAGCAACAACATAGTCGGGGTACGAATGAAGTATGAATGTGTTCAAGTAGGGAAAAGATGACAACTCAACCAATCAAATCATTCCTCATACACGAATTTCAACAATCCCACTTCTCGTAATCTCATATTATAAATCACAACTTTCAAACGTTACACACATGGCACTTTGTATCCACATTTTCCATATCACTTTCGCACGGCAAAATTCACGTGCTACCAGGTACATAGTATCCTTGTCAAATGCTAATAAATAATATTTGAAGGATCTATTCATATATAATAAAGTAAAATTACTGTTTCTAAACCAAACAGGAAATCAATGAGAAAATGAATTTATTTTGAAAAATATTTAGGTGAAGAGAATAATGTTTTTAAATAAAATAAGGCATTGGATAAGTTACTGATTTGAATATACAACAACAACAACAACAACAACAACCCAGTGTAATCCCACAAGTGGGGTCTGAGGAGGGTAATATGTACGCAGACCTTACCTCTACCCCGAGGGGCAGAGAGGCTGTTTCCAGGAGACCCACGGCTCAAAGAGGCAACAAGGGACACTGATTTAAATATAGAATTTAATAAATTAAAACATAATAGCAATTCCTTTTTAAGTAAAGTAGAAACATCAGATAAGGTAAGGAGATTAAGTTAAAATATGATGACTAGTAAAAATAGTAAGGTATCGAATGAAACGACGAGTTTTAATTTAAGAGTCACATAATGCAAGCATGTTATTAGTTCTTTTATTTAAAGTTGTTATGATACTAACAACTCGACAAGGTATGAGACAATGACTCGACGTAATAAATTCATTTTGAAAATCAATTCACCCAAATAATAGTAAAAGGAAAAGAAAACAGGAAATGACGGCAAAACAGTAAACTAATGAAAATAACTTGATCCTCGAAAATCAGTAAAAACAAAAAATACCAATCCTCAAAGTCTCGTACGAAAGAACCAAAGCCAACACAATACAACAAGGAATAAAAAACACATAAATTATTGTAGTGCGCAACCCGATCCTACCGTACAACACGATTCTCCCTTATTTCACAATATAAATATCAATAATAATAAGTAAATATATATGTTGCAACGTGCAACCCAATCCCACCATATAATTAAAATCAAATCATAATTCTCCCTTATTTCACCATATCAATCCACCCTTATTTCACCTGTTGCGGCGCGCAATCCGATCTCACCGTATCAGTATAAATTCTCTCTTATTCTCTCTGTTACGGCGTGTAACCCAATCCATAAGTAAATTGTTAGTTTATATGAGTCCACCAAACAGTAGAGTATCTGGTCCACTATAAGGTTATGCTAAGAATGCTAGTAAAACTGTAAGTAAATGAGACACATGAATTTTTACGTGAAAAAATCCCACACAAGGGGACAAAAACCATGACCTACCCTTGCAGGCTTTCAACTTCACAAACTTGTAATCTCACTATTACAAGCCACTTTGTAATACCTCTACTACAAAGGATATAACTTAACTAACTTATGATACTCTTACCACAAGCCACTTTGTGACTCTCTTGTTACAAAGGCTTTAAAATTATGACTAAACCTAGTCACAACATAAACTTAGAAAGTTTACGGATTTTGGTTTTCCTAAAACAAAGCTTCTAAAAAGAAAGATAGGAGTTACAATGAATGACAAATAACAAGATTACAACTCAACTACGGATACACATAGACTCATTGTGAAACTGATCCTTTAGTGGAGTTGTCTTTTTGTTCTTGACATACCAGTGACTTCAATGCCGGATGAACACTTTAATGCTTGAGAGAATATCATTGAATGCTCAAGTGAAGTGTTGTGCCTTGCACCAGGCTGTTATACTACAAAAGATATCACAATGGTGATGTCAAATCTTGTCACACACTTCTTCCCAATAAGAAGTGACCGTTGCACTGTCGCGTGTACAGTTGCGGACAGTCACTTTCTACAGTTGCGTTCCAGCTGCATAGTTGGCTTGTACTTATGTCATAGAACCTTAAGGGACTAGGTCCCTGTTGTGTTCCTCTTTGTAACAGTTGCGGATAGTCACTATCTGCTGTTACGTTCCATATGTACAGTTGACTTGTACTTCTGTTGGAGAAAGGGACCATGTCCCTGTTGTATTCTTCCTTGTGGTTGTTCACTCACTTGCTAGAGATCAGACTGAACATTGTTCATTTGAAGAGTACACCAGGTGTGTGAGATTCTTTATCTGGTTCTTGACAATAAGTTTGTTAGATCATCAAAACATAAAAAACATAAGACAAAGACATTGAAAACCCATCAATTTCCCCATTTTTGATGATGACAAACTTAGGCAGTGATGGTATTTGTTTAGAGTAGAGATAACCAGATAAGGTACCAGAAACTATACATGTTCCCCCCGACCTTTTGCTTTTTCCCCCTTAATCAGATCCCTTATATTTGCAGCAAGAAATTACACAAGTTCCCCCTAACCCCTTGACCCCTGACCTTACTCTCTGACCTTACTCCCTGACATTACTCCCTGACCTTTTCCCCCTTTTGGCATCATTAAAAAGATACACATGCAGGCAATTAGCATAAAAAGGTCTAACACAACCAATTCATGCCACATATGTGCACACAACATGACAGAAAAGAGAAGCTAGAGGAAAGCAGTATTGTACATGCACAAAGAAGAGCTGTTTCATTAATACTAACAATGGATTGAGCAAAACAGGAGCAGTAGTGGTGAAATCCAGCATGCCTATCACAAAAAGACAAACAAAAAGAAAATAACAGCCACAAAACATTAGAACAAAAAATAGTTGGTCATTAAGAGGACTGGGGGCACTAGGAGAGGGAGGCTTGAAAGAGGAGGCAGCAATGTTTTTGAGAACCAGGTCCAGTCGGGCATTTGCAGACAGTTGTTCTTCAAGTAATTTTGCGCGAAGCTTATCATTTTCCTTTGTCAGGCGGGCAACTTCTTCATTAATGGAATCGGGTCCTTTAACAGAGCTGAGTTTCCAGTATGACATTTTGAGCCTTCAACCGTCTGATATCTTTAGAAGCTGTGTTTTGAGCATTGATCAGTTGAGAAATGGTCGAGATACTTTTACCAACACTTTATACGCACTCACATTCTTCCAGAGTGGTTTTAGAGAAGATTTGCTTGTGTGTGCCTACTCTGGGATTATCCAAGGGGACCTTGTAAAATCTGAACACTTGAGTGAGGAGAAAACCATATGGTAGCCCATGATTCCCACATTTAAAGTTTGCCACCTTTTATATGATCTATCATGATTGCTGGCAGACTGATTGGGACAAGCTCATCAAGTGCCTCCATTAAGACCATATCCGATTTTGTAACAATGGATCGTCTCTCAGAACGAGGTAAGAGCACCTTATTGACCAGTTCAAAAAGAAGCTGATGCTCAGGAAGTAATATCTTCTTATGCACATGTTCCCCTTGCTGAATAGCTTGCTCTTTCATGATAGCTCTCCTAAAGTTGACACCATAAACACCTTTGACTGAGGGCATTCCTTCACGTGGAATTCTGAGAACCTTTCCCAATGCTGAAGCGTCAAGTACAATGTCTACCCCATTTACTAGTGCACAAATGTGATCCCCCTCAACGGTGAAGAGAGATGCGTAGAAATGTTTTAGCGCATCTTCGTACACCAGAGGCATGCTCCCCTGAAACAAGTGCTCACATTGCTGAAATTCCACTATCTTCAGAATTTGTCTCATACTGGCCATCTCTGAAATTGCTGGGTC